ATATATGAATCATATATACGTATATATTTATGTGTGTGTATATATATTTCTGTGTATATATGTATGTATGTTTACATTATGTATGTATATATGTATAATTGTATATGTATGTATATATATATATATATATTCTGTATGAATGTATATATGAATCGAGGAGCGTTCAAATGAAAACTGCCTCCATTTGTGTAAACCGTGTAAACCAATCTCATCCATTCATTTTCTTGATCAATGGTCAAGATTAGTTTACTTTATTTTAGGAAATTAAAATTTTCTATTTGTTAGGAAATAATTTCGCTAATACATCAGTTTTTTTATTCCTTATCCTGAAATTGTTTCAATGTCCTTCACACACCCATGTAAATATGCACCATATTCATTCTGAAATTATTTCAAGACGCACCGGTTTCATCATGGATCCATTTCAGCTTGTAATTATTTCRTGACAAATCGCATACATTATGCACCCGTTTCATTTTGCATTTCATCTACTAAATAAATCAACAACACCATCATTGAAACGGGGTTCACCATCAAACCAGTTCACTACTCATTGTTCAATTACGCCATGAACTAGTTTCACCTTCATGAAACTTGTTTCATGTACATAGATTAGTTTATTTCGCTCCTGATTTGATGAATTCATTCATTTAATTCTTACAATCTTAAAGATTCTGTAGCAGATTACAATCTTCAAAATTATGAAGCAGATTCATCATGTACCCGTTTCATCATGCAATTATTTCATGACAACCCAAATACATTATGCACCCGTTTCGCTACTCTTGGTTCAATTACACCATAAACCGGTTTCACTTTCATGAAACCTATTTCATGTACATTAATTTTCTTATTTCACCCGTGATTTGATGAATTCATTCCTTTAAGCCTTACAATCTTCAAGATTCTGTAACAGATTCATCATGTACCCGTTTCATCATGCAATTATTTCATGACGAACCAAATACATTATGCACCCGTTTCATTTTCCACTTCACCTACTAAATGGATCAACTACACCATCAATAAAACAGGTTCACCATGATAATGTTTCACTACTCATTGTTCAATTATGACATGAACCAGTTTCACTTTCATGAAACCTGTTGCATTTGTATTAATTTCTTTTTTCAATCATGATTTGATTAATTCATTACATTATGTCTTACAATCTTTAAGATTCACCAGCAGATTCAATCGCATCACAATATATTTAGTTCAAAATTTTGAAATTATAATATAATTAAATATTCAAATATTACCATTTATAAAATTTCCTTTATTACGTTTCCATAATTAAGATTTATTAATAATTTTCATATTTAATTGAAAATATTGTAAATGACCAAAATACCCTTATTGATTAAATTTAATTAGAACAAA